ATAAGGTCATGTAGGCCCTCTGTTAGAAATATTACCATGTAGTCTTAGCAATCATGGAAACAAAACAATCCTATCTCACTTTGCCCATGACCGAACAAGTCTGGTAAAGTAGGCCTTACCAATGGGTGGTGAGATCATATATGGGACCACACCCTCCATTGACTCACCCACTCACCCGTAGCTTCCTTTTTTGTCTCCACCTTTACTAGAATAGTGGAATTTTCTGTGGTCTTGCCTGGAATTTCTCTGTTGTTGATGACCCTAATTCCTTGTTCTTAGAGACCAATTTTGGGCAGAACTTGATAGCATGATCTACATGCCACTCTCTCTCTAGTGTGAGGGTGGTGAACACCACTAGATCAAAGAAACCAATGAACGAAAATTTGGCCGCTTGTTGCCTAGGCGGCCTGGCCGAGAAACCGCCAAGGCGATGGGGTCTGGGTGGGCATGCTTAAGGTGGGCTCAAGCTGGGCATCTCTTCAAATAAAAAAGAAAGAAAAAGGACTCTCTCGCTATCTCTCTCTCAGATCCATGTGCTCTCTCTACATATGAGAAGAAGAAGAAGAAGATGGACTCTAAGTGTTTGATACGTGGCCCCTCTCTCTCTCTCTCACACACACACAAAAAGATACACATGGACCTATATGCTCCTTCGTTCAATGTAAGAAGAAGAAAAAGAAGAAGATGGCATGGCTGCCTCCAAGTGTTCCGATGCGAGGTCCCTCTCTCTCATAGACTCTCTCTCTCTCTCTCGACATATCCTCCAAGACCTCTCTCTCACAAATACAGATAAAAAAAAGAAAAAAGAAAAAGAGGATGATCTTTAAGAATTTCAACCTCACACACTTACACACATTAAACACATACACAGATGCATTCACAAAACACATACACACAAAATATATGGCCCCCACCCCTTCCCTTAGTGGCACAAACTGCCTGCCTTTGTGTCTGGCTGCCCGCCTGCCTCTGCCTTTTTGAACATTGAAAGAAACAAAATTAAGAGGATTACCACTAGCATGGTGGACTTCTTGGAGTACATCTCCAGAAATGGTCTTATAGATATCCCCCGAAATGGCTTGGAACACTTGGTCAAATCACTCCACAAACCCCTTCCTCTCCAAGCTCTGTAGTTTTCTGACAAGCACGGATCGGGATGCTGTTTTCCCTGGTATCCATTTCATTGGACCCTTAAAACTCACCTTTGACCACAGACCCATCCTGCTGGTCACACAACTGCCATGAGAGGTAAGAGACCATCCAGATTTGAGCTATCTTGGCTTCAGGAACCAACTTCCCTACCTTGGTCCCAGAGTGGTGTGTGTTCTTTTCAACTCAGGTTCAAGGCTGGGTTGGCTACCAGCTACAAAGAAAACTGCAATTGCTCAAATCTTTTCGAAAGATTAGAGCAGGCAATTCCTTCCGAACTTTCAAAGCACAAAGGAATCTCTTCTTGAAACCATAGAAGGCTTGGACACCATTGAAGAAACCATAAACCCGAATCAGGATGAAAGGAACCAGAGAACCTAAGCTGAACTTGAGTGCAATTAGTCCTTAAAAAAGGAGATTTTCTTGTACCAATGATCTAGAGTTAAATGGTTGAAACTAGGGGACCAAAAGGCTAGCTTTTTGCCTCAAAATTGCAAATTGCAGCAATATGATCTCCCAAATCAAGTGGGAGCGCACCTACTTGACCAACCACAAGAGGTGAAGATAGGTTTTTTTCCAAAACCTTTTCTTAGCCTTCTTAGGGTCAATGCTGAGAAGGAATGACCCTTCGTTTCCGACCATCACAAAAGACAAAGCGGCGTGGGCAGGAACATCCTTCCTTAGAAGAGGAGATTGCCAGGGCCATCAAGGACCTAGGGCAGGACAAAGCCCCTGGTCCGCACGGTTATCTAGTTGTCTTGTGCAATCTTCTATGGGACATGATGAGACTAGACATTCTCTCTTTCTTCCATGAATTAGAGCAATAATCCACAAGGCCATGAATGCAAGCTTCATTGCCCTGATTCCAAAAATCTAAGATTCTGAGGACCTTAAAGACTTTAGACCCATAAGCCTTCTCCTAGCTCCTATAAGATCCTTTCAAAAGGTCTAGCTTCTTCCCTTAGAGAGGTCCTCAATTGGGTCATCTCATCGAACCAAGGAGTCCTTGTCAAAGATAGATGGGTTCTTAATGGGCCGCTCATTGCCCATGACTTTATACATTCCAGGGGTTGTCATCAAACTGAGCTAGGAAAAGGCCTATAACCATTTTGATTGCGAAATTCTTGATGAATCCCTCTTAAAAATGGGTTTTGGAGAGAAATGGAGAAAATTGGCTGCGTAGGTGAATCTCTAAACCCTTCTTCTCCATCCTTATTAGTGGCTCCTCCAAAGGCTACTTTCACTCTTCAAGGGGTTTAACGCAAGGCGATTCCCTCTCACCTTTCTTTTCTTTTTTTTGCCATTGTGGGTGTCTTCATCAGATCCATCGAGCGATTGTCCCAGCAAGGGCTTTTGAAAGGCTTTAGGATTGATGACCACACAGTCCGTTGATCTCACACCTCCAATATGTTAATGACACCTTGGTCTTTTGTAATGTCACCCATCAGCGAGCTGACACTTTGTATCTTTACCTAAAATGGTTTAATTAACAACTGGCATCAAGATCACATGGCCAAATCTACAATGTTGGGTGTAGAAACTGAGTCCCGGGTGGTCCTTGATCTTGCAAATTATTTAGTGTGAGGTAGAGCAGCTGCTCTCCAAATACCTGGTTTTGCCCCTCTGCATTGACAAACTGGAAAAGCAACTCTGGGATGCCAGTTCGATCATTCCCCTCACTCGGGAGTTGGCTCAGTCTAATAAAGGCAAGACTCTCGAACTTCCTACCCTACCAGATGCCACTTTTTCATTTGCCTTTCTCCACTGTGGTGTGCCTCAGGAGATTAATAAGGAATTTCCTATGGTCCGGTGTGGAGGGTGACACACAAATATCACATTGCCTGGGATAAGGACCAAACGAGGGGGGTGTCTGAGCATCCGGAGCGTTAGAAGATGTAACCTGACCCCTTTTGGTATGTGGTTGTGATGCTTTGCTACACAAGAGAACCACCCATCACGAATAGTCTGGAACAAATACCTCTATTAAACATCAGCCTGGCTACCTGGGGGAACTTCTATTGGTCAGTCCTCAGGGTTATGGTACAGTTTGCTAACTAGCTACCTCCAATTCCTGGCAAACACTCATTTCAGGGCTAAGGCAGGCAGCATAGTCAAATTTTGGACTGACTTATGGATTGGTAACTCCACCATATAAGATCGGTTCCCATAACTTGTTCCTCCTGGCCCTGGACTGTCAGAAAGCAAGTGCCAACTAGTTCAATATCTTGGGCACATCAAGAATTTGGAGCCCAAACTCAGAAGGCCGCTATGAGACATGAACTTTCTGACTTTGAATCCCTCTCCTCCCTCCTGCAATCTATCTATCTTCCTGCTACAGGAGATGATCTTTCTTCCTGCTACAGGAGATGACAAGCTGATTTGGATGCCTTCCACATCAGGTAAATTCACAGTCTCTTCGTTTTATTGGAAGCTCCAACAGCCTCTAACTTTCCCCCTCTTCCCCCTCCCTTGCCTATCGAGCCTGGCTTATTCCAGTCCTCCAAAAATCCAAGCGTCCAGCTGGATTGCCATATTTGTGAGGGCCCTCACAGTAGGCTGGTTAAAATAGGGGCATGCTGATCCCTAGCAGATATATCACAGCGGAAGAAACCAATGAACACTTCGTTCTCCATTGTGACATGGCTTGTGGGTTGTGGGCAGATTTGTCACAGCTCTTCTGTCTTTCGCCTTTTCCATGCTTTCAAATCCCCACCATGACCAAGGTTGGTCACTTTCTTTGGAGAGTGGCAGTTGCAGCTGGTCTTTTGAGTAATTTGGACCAAAAACCACAGAATAGTCAATGGAAAGGAGTCAAACCCCAACACCTTGAATTACCGGATCAAAGCTTGACAAAGAACGACAAATTGCCTAGACATCATTCCACATCGTATTCCTCCAAATCTGGCATTCTTTGTTAAACTTAAGGCCTTTGTAATTTCCTTGCTGATCGCTTTGGAGTCCACCGGAACGACGCCATATCAAGCTCATTTTTTATGCTTGCTCCCTAGGCAACCCCGGCCTAGCAGGTATTGGGAGAATTAGAAACAAAGATGGTATTACCCTGTTATCCTTATTGCTCATGCTGGCTCCACTAGGGCTAAGGCCTTTGCCCTCCTTGAGGGCCTCAAAAGTTTCAACCTCGATTGGAGCCCTTTTTTGGTCATAGAGGGGGACTCCAAGAATGTCACCACGTGGGCTTTCTAATGCCTCTCCATACCCGTGGAGACTAGAACACATTTTTGATGAGATTTTGAATTAGGCCTATGCACATCTTCTTTCAGCATATGTGGCATGAGGTAAATTTCAAAGCTGATAGTCCATGCCAAAGATGGAGCAATAGTGGGGATCACATTTGGGACCCCATTGGTACCTTTTGAGCTATGGCTTCTGGCTCATGTCCATTTAACGTGTTTTGCACAGATTTTTTGGATGCATAAAAATTTTGACAGCATTTTTTGGCTCTTTACATAATGCCCAGCTTGTGGGTTGTCGTACTTCAGTTTTCGTCACAATTCCATGCTTAATGCCACTGTTAACATTTGTTCAAAAAACTAATATTGCTATACTATATTTCTAGTTCTAGGTTTATTTTTTATTTATTTATTTATTTTTCAACGTTAGTTCTAGGTCTTATGAATGTTCCTATTACAGATTTACTGAAGGTTAGTTTCCTTTGTGAAACCTTCGCTATAAACTTAGTAGTTTCCTAAGTGCTTAATTGGCAACATGCCCACAAGTACCTATAACATTTGTATATTATTTTTGAAGTTCTAAGTTCATGGGAAGTTGCTGTTGCTGATTTTTTGTAATTTGTTTCCCTTGGGGTATGCTAATTGAGAATTGTTCAACAGATGCCATTGATGATGCCAATAAGGCTATCCAGTTGGATTCTTCATTGTCAAAAGCATACTTGCAGAAGGGGTAAGTCTTCATCAATTTTCTATATTTTTTACAAGCTGCTCTTTTTTGGTCTACTTGTAAGATGGCCTTCATGAAAATGAAAGGCCAGCAAAAACATCATAGGGATCATAGACCTCTCCTTATTGAAACCAATAAAAAGGAAAATTAACTACTTAACATGTGAAATATTTATCTTGGTAAAGAAATATGAAAAGTGCATATGTTTTCTCAAAAATGTACTCATTCTTTCTTTGTATATTCATATTACTCTCATGGCTAGCTTGTGATATTCTAACTGCAAGTTAGAGATGATCATGGTCTTCTTTTTTCAAAGTTGAGAAGGGATTATTTTACATGGATTCCACTGTTACTCTTTCTCATATATATATATATATATATATATATGTGTGTGTGTGTGTGTGTGTGTGTGTGTGTGTGTGTGTATAGTATATATAAGAGTAGGA